GCTACGAGCATTAGGGATTACAATACGTTAGGCCTTATGACACATTGGGAGTTACGATGCATTAGGAGTTGCGATACATTAGGTGTTGTGATATATTAAGAGTTACGATACATTAGGGGTTATGGCACATTAGGTGCAACGTACATTAGGCGTTATGAAGCAGCGGTTTTGATACATTAGGCGTTGTGATACATTAGTGGTTACAAACATTAAGGGGTTCGATACCGACCCCAGCGCGCCACTTTCGGCTTCGGCCGGTCCCGTCGGGGTTCACGTGGTGTGTATTGGAGTTGTCGAACGGGTTTTAAAGGGAAAGGGACAGGCAAAAAGTAAGCGGTTCTGGCGTGTTAAACTCAGTGATTTACAGTGCCTTACGCTTGGCGCTAAGTTTCAGTCTCCCAACTATTTGTGTGAGGAATGGTGTAATATCAGTTTATGCCAAGGAAAGACAAGTTAACTTGAAAAATTTGCGAAGGTGACGGTGATGCAAATAGCGGGAATAGGTCATTAGAGTATGGCTCAAGCAATATGACAAATGCTGTTTTCATTCCATGCAGTGCAGTGAGATGAAAAATATGTTGGGATTGGCCAAGAAGAATTTATGTCTGGCACTGATTGTAGGAGTGGCTCATATGGGATGTCTGAACAGTGTGGGATGTTCACATGGTATCAAACTTTTCAATGTGCGATGGGTGACACAGATTGGTAGATGCAAGTGTGTTGCTGGGAATTTGTAAAGCTTATCTGTATTATGTACCACACACCCACTCCGCAGAGACAAAGGTGGCCTTCAAGGCATTAGCCAGGCTCTGAAAGCATTGTTTCTACTTCAAATATCCTGCTATGATCTTTGCTAGAAAAGGGGAAATGACTATTTGAACCCAGTTATTTTGATCTCAACAGACATGGAACAAAAATTATGGCACTTGACCACTGTGTTGTGGATGCAAGAAATGGTCATGGCTGCCCAATAGCTGTGGCCTAAAGGACCCCTGATGTCCTATGTGTTTGATATGCTTAGTGTTCATCATGTATATGGTCTGTCAGCAGTTACGTGATATGGTGGTGGTTATGATCAATATTTTTTCTCACTACATAATCATCTATTTATTAATGATCTGTTTTATAGCATGAAAGAAGAAGAAAGTAGGGATATTATATCATCTTTCCTTTCACATATAATGATTATGATGGTGGTGGTGCTTTTAAACAGCTCTGGTAAGACAGGGTACAATGAAAAACAATAATAAAACAGGGATGTCTTCGGGGAATCTTATCCTACATCAAAAATTGATTAGTTATGATAAGGATGGCGGACATGAGTTAGAAACACTGGCAGCACGATCCATACAAATCAAGGTCATACCAGCTGATCAGGTCCAGCATTTGCTCCTCAAGGTAAAGCTTTTGCATACTGATCATTATTTGGTTGACATTATACCTAGATATGGCATCTTAATTGGTAATTGAGATAGGGAAGGAGCAATATGGCATGGAAGTCCAATGGGACCCCAGTAGAATCAGGCAATCCTGATATCCTGGCCACCTGAAGGGATCAATCTGTGAAGTATTGGAGCAGCATTAAGGATATGATGAAGCCATTTTAGGTCAGGAATAATGACTCAGATGTTGAGGACCAAGTGACAGCTCTTAACCTGCAGGGTGTTTACAGGACATTTAGAAGGATTATGTGAGAAGTTCACTAGTGACAGTGAACTCATACACTACTTGAGTCCAGCAGAATGGTGTGATGCTATGCACAGTCAACTCGCCATGTGCTTCCTGCATGATGCCAGTATGGAGGGAAACCATGTTCCAAGTCACAGACTTTGAGTGGGCACTGCATTCCCTGGGAATGTTCTGGGCACTGTTCTAAGGGGCTTCATTAAGTGTGAGTTTGTAGCCAATTATGGTGAACCCACTCACCATAACCATTCTGCAGGCCACAACATAAAACCTCTCTGCAATCCACTCAGACATGTGGGCTAGACCACGGGCAGTTTCAGGGCACAAGCAGATTAAGTTTGGCACTGGGGTGGACATCTTAAGCATGTGCAGTGAGAAGGACAAGTGGGGCAACTGGCATATATGTGATGGATGGAATATTTGCACCACAAATTTCAGTATTTGCTCTTGAATTTCCCACCAAACCAAAGAGACACATTATATCACAAGCACCAAAGGTTCCTTTTTGGCTATACATACAACACCCTGTACTTGTGGTATTGTGTGCTCCGTGAGACGACAAGAGACAAACCAGATCCAATGCACCCTTTATGGTGGCATTTACTGGCTTGTTTACCTTACATATGTCTGTCCTCTGAGTTCATGCAGCTGTGTATTACAGTCAGATCAATCTGACACTCTCCCTGCACCAACAACCAGTTACATGACTCAGACACCCATGGACTGATGGCCATTGGTGCTTGTTTATTGAAGCCAGCAAACTGTAACAGATACACTGACCTATGCTGCCATTTGCAGGTAATCAGAATATTCCAGCCTGCTTCAGATGGATGGGAAAGGAAGCAGCATGTCATCCCTACCAAAGCCAGTGTTCATAGGTAACTTCTTACAAACAGTGTTACTTGTTTACCTGGGCTCACATTTGTCAGACTATTTCATGCAAGTCAGAGGCACTGGCTGTGAGTGCCTGCTGATTGGCCTGACTGTGCTGAGAGCTGGCTGACGGGGCTGTTGTTGTTTACCTGGGCTCACATTTGTCAGACCATTCCATGCAAGTCAGAGGCACCAGCTGTGAGTGCCTGCTGATCGGGCTGACTGTGCTGAGAGCTGGCTGACGAGGCTGTTGTTGTTCGCCGCAGCGCGCGGCTCGCCGGGCCTGCTCTTCGGCCAGGGCGTCAAGTGCGAGCCGTTCCCGGGACCCGAGGGCGAGGCGTTCACCGACTGCCGTGGCCTCGAGTTCAGCGCCGATGGCTCCCGGCTGGCCTGGGTCACCAGCTCCTGGTACGGCACTCCGCGACGCCGGCCCCCTACCGTGACGCCGCGCGGCGTGCGCTAGAACGGAGCGTGCGGTTATCTCATGATTACCGGGCACTCTGGGTCGGGGTAGTTCGTGGTGAGTGCACTGTGTCAGACAGATGGGTGGCGTTCACCCTGTTGGCTGACATCAGATGACTGAAAGAGCTGATGTCAAAATGGGGAAAACAAGCAAACACTGTTGGCAGTTCTTTTGGATCACCATGTGTCTTCCCTGTTCACTTAAAGGGAATGTTGCACATTTGAAGATATTGAGGCAGGTATGAGATATGGTGAAATAATTTAACATGTAACTATTGGGATATTTCTCATTGCAAAATACTTCTCTAGACAAGAAAACACCACCATTCAATAGATATACTCCTTAATATGTCATTGTCCAATCCCACCATGGAACATTACTGTGATGGTTGAAGGCCTACCATACTGGGGCTGCAAAATTTCCACCCTCCTGTATAGCGTGACTCGCTAGGTAGTAATTCAACTTCTTGATAGGTGTGTGGAGGGGTACGACATTTCTAGAACCCAAATATCTTTGTGTGCGGTTGTTTCGGCCATTTTTTGTTGTGTTCTTGCATATTAAAGTGACTGTTGTACATTTGAGGATATTGAAGTAGGCATCAGAAGTGATGAAATGAACTCATTTATAACTATTGGTATATTTTTAAGTGGAAAAGACCGCTGTTAACAACACAATTTCTCTGTTTAGCAAATGTGTTCTTAGATACGTTATTGTTTGGATGCTCACGTCCTCGCACCCTGCGCAACATTAAAAGATAGCCAATTGAAGGCCGTTATATCTGGAAGTTGTGCACACGAACGCCAGCTGTGAATGACTGAACAATTATATTTTTATTTGCGTTGATCCCCGCGTTGCATATGGAATGACAGGGTTTGAAGGACGTTATTATCGTGTCATTTGATGCCTGGGTGACCTTGAATTATGTACGAAAAGTTCGCACATCTTCGCGGGCGCGTAGCTAAAAAACTGGAGCGGTTTAGGTTTTAAGAAGGGCAGAGCTGTGGACTGCACCGAATGATCTTAAAGATGGTCATTTCAGTTCAAAAACCCGTAGAAATGTGGAACACCCGCTTTGATTTGTGACTTATAGTGTTGAGTTGTATTAACGTGCTTGGGTATGGCGCTATTTTTAATTGAAAGTCTGATTTCCGTAATAACTGGCACCAATGTCCAACATTCTGTATGATAAAGCACAAAGCATCATTCGTGTTTGAAACTTGCACTGAATGCTTCGCATTGGTTGAACCCCAATGGAAGTTCGCTGGTTCCAGAAATCGCGCTCACGCATGTCAGACACGAAACACTGGATTATTGTATGTGTTTTGGCCCTGAACGCCGCGTGGCCAATGTGGTGGCAGGATTTCAGTGACGTATCTACGGCGTCGTGCAAATAATCCGCACAAAATAGCCTTCAAACATTCGCGGGCGTCTAGCTCAGAAAGTACAGGGTTTTTAAAGGTCTTAAACAGGGCAGGACTGTGAACTGCTCCGAATGATCTTCAAAATGGCAATCTCAGTTCAAAATTCCATACGAATGTGGAACACTCCCTCCAACCTCATGAACTCTATGACGAAACATGCGGAGTTTTCCGATTATATGAGGTCACATCCGTGTGGCATGTAAACCTGAACACGTTAAAGGTAAAAGCATGTGATTGTTAGTCATTTCGTAAAAGCCTTGGAAAAAACGACTGGATACTGATGTGGGAAACGCCTTCTGGCCATGGTCAGCGTGAAGGTGGCCGAGACGACGACCTGGAAGGTGATCATGGAGGCGGAGATCGCCAAGGTGGGCGCCGTCAAGTTCTCACCGACGGCCGCCTTCCTCGCCATCTGGCACCCGTTCTTTGGTGAGACGCGCCCGGACGAGCCCGTCCCAGACGGCCGCCATTCCAGCTCATTTAAGACTGGCAGGATGGAGTAAGCGACGCTTTAATTTACTCTTGAAATATTGGTGATGCCGGACACATGTATGAGGGAGGTGGAGCTGAACGGTACCATAGTGGCTTGGCGTAAGGTTCATTTCTCACGTTGTTGTGTCCACGTTTTCTTGGTGATATTGTTTTAACCCTTAATCGTGGTGTTATGTATTCATTGATTGATGTTGGTTACTTGGAGGAGCCGGATCACGTGTGATTGAACTATCAGCCAGCACATCAGAACTGTTGTGTTGTCTCACCATTTGTTCCGCATCTCAACATGGTCATTTACGGGTGGGCCATTTTTCAGTGACCAAGGAAAACCCGCAGGGTGCCCCGAATATGTTCGTCTATGATGTCGCGAAAAAGGAGTGCATCAAGATCCTCACCCATAAGAAATACCAGACTTGGTGAGCTTTCAACCGCACGTGTACTTTTTTGAACTCATCTGGCTTTATGTTTTGTTAGCTCACTCCTGTGGTGCATTGTCTTGTCATTGTCTTGTTTCATGTCAGCTGTTGGTCCTTTGTGTCAGTGCGTTTTTGGGTCTTCTGCCAGCGATGTTTTTTATAAATACTTGACATTTTCGGTATTTTGTTATATTTGTCTCCGGCTGATTTTGACCGGGTCTGTCGACATCGGTCCACCGCGGTGTGATCCGCCTGCACCCAAGCATCAGCCGTGTGGGTGGTGCCGAGAGCTCCCCGTCAGTTGTCACCCGACCGCACCTCCGTCACTCTCGTCACGCTGCGTCACCTCCACCACTCCCCGTCATTACGAGCGCACCATGAGCTTCCTGCTACTCAGTCGTTGGTATAACCACTCATTAACACTGTCCGTTGGCCCCCATCGGTCCTGATATGCTCCGCTTTTTCCCACGGACCCCACCACCCCTTGACACTGAGCGTCACTCCCTGTCGATCTTACCTCTCCTTGACAGTTAACACTGTCCGTTATTCCCGGCCACTGCCAGTGAAGCTCACCACCTACCGTCGCTACTGGCTTGGCATTGTCAGCCCCGACTGCCACCGTCTCTGCCTACTATCTTGATTCGTGTTGTTTGTTCGGGTCAATTGCTATCGCCCCGGATGCTTCTTTCTTCTTTATTCTCGCCTGCTGCCGTCGCTTCCGTCTCTCACGATCGCTCTCGCTGCTCACCGTCGTTCCCATCGTTCGCTGTCTCTCCGGCCACCGGCACCAGTCCCGACGCCCCCGACACTCACCGTCGCTCCCTCCTCTCGCCGTCACTCCCGACACTCACCTTCGCTGCGGCTGCTGTCCGTGTTCTGCGCTCCCCCCTCTCACCGCCGCCACGACGCTTCACCGTCCTCCACGCCTGCCGGCCAGGGAGATGCAGTGGACGCCGGACGACGCCATTTGCGCGCGCAACGTCTCGAACGAGGTGCACTTCTTCGAGGGCGGCCAGCTGGACACCGTGCGTCACAAGCTGCGTCTGGACGGCCTGTCCGAGTACAGCCTGGCGCCGAGCACGCGGCCGCACGTGGTCGCCTTCCTGCCCTCCGTCGGGGTGAGTGGCGGCGCGTGCGCGTCCAAGCGGGCGATGACAACCCGGCACGCGTTGCGGCGGCTCGGCCCTCCGAGGAACATCAGGTCGCATGTGGCCGGTTTGCCAGCCACATGTTTGTGTTGGTGTGTTTTGTTGTGTTTGGTGTCTCTCTGTGGGGCTTGAACGGCCGACCTGTGCGTCGATAGTGATTGTTGTGGCGGGCAGTTGGGTACATGCCGGGCTTGTACTGCTTTGCACTGCTGCGCTGTGTGCTCCTCTCTATGTGCTGGATTCATGATGGCCTGTGCTACCCACTCCCCATGATGGCCTACTCTAACTGCTCCCCATGATGGCCTGCTCTAACTGCTCCCCATGGTGGCCTGCTCTAACTGCTCCCCATGATGGCCTGCTCTAACTGCTCACCATGATGGCAAGCTCTACCTGCTCCCCATGATGGCCTGCTCTACCTGCTCCCCATGATGGCCTGCTCTAACCACTCCCCATGATGGCCTGCTCTAACTGCTCACCATGATGGCAAGCTCTACCTGCTCCCCATGATGGCCTGCTCTACCTGCTCCCCATGATGGCCTGCTCTACCTGCTCCCCATGATGGCCTGCTCTAACTGCTCCCCATGATGGCCAGCTGTGCCCCTTCCTGTGATGGCCCACCCTGCCCCCTCCCCATGATGGCCAGCTGTGTTCCCTCCCTGTGGTGGCCCACTCCACCCCCTTCATGTGATGACCTACTTTTCCCCCTCCCTGTGATGGCCAGCTCTGCTCCCTCCCCATGAGGGCTTGTTCTGCCCCCTCACGAGGGCCCACTCTGCCCCCTTCCCATGATAGACTGCTCTGCCCCCTCCCCATGGTGGCCCGCTCTGCTCCCTCTCCATAATGTCCTGCTCTGCTCCCTCCCCATGAGGGCCCACTCTGCCCTTCCCCATGAGGGCCCACTCTGCCGTCTCCTCATGAGGGCCTGTTCCGCCCCCTCTCTATGAGGGTCTGCTCTGCCCCTTCCCACGGGGGCCTGCTCTGCCTGTTGACCTCGGCATGGTGCAACACCCACCGTATGGAACAGCATCCGACGCCGCGGCGTCACTCTGCCGCCTTGTGCAGCAGTCTTACGTCTCAGTGGTGCAGACTGCTGGCGGACAGCGAACCGGTCGCAGCCTGTCGCCTGCGCTGTGGCGCCCGGCACCGTTGGCTCGTGTGTCCCTCAGGTCTGACGGGTCTGAAGCAGACCTCGATTAGGCCCATGACGACACATAACCCGGCATAGCCGTCCCAGGCCCAGTCAGTCATCTTCCTAACTTAGGGATCTTTTATCTTACGGTCCCCGGAACTCTGACGGTCTCTGACTGCACCTGAATGTCTCCCTCCTGAGTTGCCGCAGCTGTGTTTGAGCTTCACCGTCACGACCCCTCGTGTGGCCACCGGCCTCCGCCGTGCCTGCCTCGCCCCTGGACGCGCCGCAGGTTTGCCCCGACCCTCACCGACCGGGACCGTGTCGGCAGGGTCGGCCGGCCGGCGCTCGTCTCTTCAAGTACCCCAATCTGACGGAGGAGGCTGCTATTGGACGGAAAAGCTTCTTCAATGTGAGGAAAGCAGCGGGTTTGCCCAGACGTTGAGTGGTTGGAGTAGTGTAATGAACTTTGACGCGGACTGGTCTCATGTTTCTTTTGCTGGCGTACCTCGATTCATGTACTGGTGCACCGGCTGTGCGGGCGTTGGGGCGGGGCTCCCGCCAGGTGGGGTACTACGTGCAACTTGCCCTGCATATACGGGGCGCTGCGGGCGTGGAGGACGAAGCGGCATCTGGGAGGAGAAGGGTGGCTGTAGTCTGCGTGCAGCAATTATTTGTCGCTTCCGTTCTGCATGTATGCATGTGCACGTGTGTCGTGTGTGTGTGTGTGTGTGCACAGTCGACGGGCTAGTGCTGAGTCAGTGGACGACGGTGAGCTCCCCGACACTGGCTTCTGGCCGCGCTCGGAAGGCATTGCCAGCGCTCGACGCCGTCGATGCGACGCCCCTGCCATTGGTCGCCGCTGTGTGCACGTGTTCGCCGCCGCCTATCTGATGGGGGTGACCGTCGCTTGTCCTAGGCCAACACGGTGGAGATGAAGTGGAACAGTCGCGGCAACACGTGTCTGCTGCTGACCTCCACCGACGTCGACAAGACGGGCCAGTCGTACTACGGCGAGACGTCCATCTACTGCCTGGACACCAAGGGCGCCACGGCCCACCTGCAGCCCGGTCAGTGCCCCCCCCCCCCCTCCTCCGTCCCCAGCACTGCCGCGATGTGGAGGCCTTCGTCCGCTTATACGATGCGGGTGAGATGTCGAGATGTGTCGTCGCCTGTTCACGACACTGCCGCGCGTGCTGATGTATGACCTTCTCATCGCAGCACTCATATGTTGTAGTGCAGTCTTACGTCTTATGCTCCGGCACGGCACGGTACGGTACAGTGCGGTGTGATACGGCGCAGATGCGGTAGAGTGGACCACCGCTGCCGTGATGGGCGGTGAGTGCTGTGATGTAGAACCCCGCAGGGCGCGAGCAGTGGCGCCGGCCGCGTGCTAAGGCTGGGCCGCGCCGGTCCGCGCAGCTCCGGACCACCGGTGTCAGCGAGCAGTGGCGCCGGCTGCCTGCCAGGGCTGGGCCGCGCCGGTCCGCGCGGCTCCGGACTACCGGTGTCGGCGCCGCCCCAGCGGGAGACGGCCGGGCTCGCACTGACCAGCGGCCTCTGTCGGCAGGCGGCAAGAAGGGCCCCGTTTACTCTTTCGAGTGGAGTCCTCTGGGCACCGAGTTCTGCCTCGTCTATGGCTTCATGCCGGCCAAGGCCACGCTCTACAACATCAAGTGCGACCCCGTGTTCGAGTTCGAGCCGGCGCATCGCAACGCCGTGTTCTACAACGCACACGGAAACTATATCCTTTGGATGCTGCTGGGCGCTGCTGCTCGGGTACGGTGTGCGCAGTGTGTGGCGTAACCGAGGCTCTGCGCGTACGTGCGTCAGGGGTGCGAGACCCGAGGAAAACAAATCTTGAGATGAGTGCGTGGAAAGTTGTGCTATTTTCTTCCGATGTATACATTTTCTTTTTTGCGAGGCGCCAGTCTCTATACTGTAACAGTTTTTCCCAGTGTTGTCTCGTTCTGTGTCAGTTCGGCAGAGTTCTGTTCCACTCCGTGTTTTGCCCTTGACTGTGAGGTCCACTGCTGGTGTTGGCCGGCTTCGGCAACCTGCGCGGCAAGATCGAGGTGTGGGACGCCGAGACGCGCCGCCAGGTGGCCAGCGGCGACTGTCCGGACACCACCGAGCTGCGCTGGGCGCCTGACGGCAAACACTTCTCGGTGGCCACATGCGCGCCCCGACTGCGGCAGGTGCGTCCCCTGACGGCCGCCGGCCGGGCGGACGCGGGGTGCAGCGGCGCGGGGGGGGGGAGGGCGAGACCGGCGCGGGCGGGGACACCGTGCTCAGTCGTCGGAGCGCTCACGGGCGTGCCTGCCGGGCTGACGGCCGTGGGTGGTGCAGGGGCCGGAGAGGCCGGCGGACACGCGGGGCAGGCTGGCCGGGTCACGCTCCGGTTCGCCAGGCGTCGACTGTGTTCTGTTCATCAGCCGCGCGATGAAGGAGTGAGGTGGCTGTAGAGGAAGCGCCCGTCTCGGCTCCCCCACCCCGGGACTGGGCACGCGCGGACTCCCGTACCCTGCTGGCCGACTCCGACGGACCTCTGCTGACTGCTCCGCTCCCCGTCGCCAGGGCAACGGCTTCCGCGTCTGGCACTACACGCTGCAGCTGCAGTACGAGAAGAACATGGCCGAGAAGCACGAGCTGTATGAGACGTACTGGCAGCCGTTCCCAGCCGGCGTGTTCCCCAAGCCGGTGGTGGGCGCCGAGAAGGTGCAGGGTCTCAAGCCCACCCAGCCGCCACGTAAGCGCCAGGAGGGGAGGGGATGATCGGTCGACGGGGTGATCACACAACCGCCTTGCTGTGCTTCGCGTTGCGATCCGGACGGTCCGTGTTTGGTTGGCAATGCGTCGGCGGCGCTGCCCGGTCTAACTCGGCGCCGCCGCCCTCCGCAGCCGCGAAGACGGCGTACGTGCCGCCCAACATGCGCGGCTTGGGCCGGAGCGGACAGCCGGAGCGCAAGAAGGTGCTGCCGCCGGGGATGAGCGAGCCGGAGCCAGGTACGACACTGAACACCCTGAGTTCGGCGCCTGTGACGGACGGCGCACCAGTAGCTGTTAGGGGCTCGTGTTTCCACGTGTCGGGCGAGCGTCACGTTAGCCGTGGCCGACTCGGAGACGTTGCCGTCGCTGTGCGACCCCCGTCTGGAAACCGCTGGCCGTTGGGTGAGCCACCGCCCACTAAAACGCGCAATTTTCCGTCCGTATTTTAGAGAAGAAGTCGAAGTCGAAGAACAAGAAGAAGGGAGGTGGCGACGCACCGAAGCCGGCGCCGGTGGCGCCCCAGCCGGTCGAGGACGAGCCGTTCGTGCCGCCGTCGGCTAACGAGGCGCCGCCGCCGCCGCACGCCGCGCAGAGTGCACCCTCCTCCGACCGCAAGAAGAAGCGCGACAACCTGAAAAAGGTACGCGGGCGAGAACCAGCCTGTAGTAGTTAACGGGAGCATTTTGTGGCGAAAGCTTCACGTGCCGCGATGCTCGGCGCGTTCCGTCCGCCCTCTGACGTCACCTGACGTCTAGTGCAGCCGCTGCCACTGGCCGCAGACCACCCCAGTCAGGAGCGGTCAGGAACGCCAATAGTGAAAGCCCACCCCGTCAGGGCTGGGTGAATCGGAAGGCCGGCTCTTTAGCCGACCGAATTATTCGGACCCACAGCAGTTCACGGATTGCTGACAGAATAGTTCAACATTCCACACTGTGGCCACGATGTGATTTGTGGCCACGATGTGATGTGGTGCGTTTGGCGGCCTCTGATCCTGCATTTCGTACGAGATGTGTTAGGTGTGCTGTGAAGGTCGTTAACACATGACGGCCTTTGTTGACCACCTGTTTGCGCAGAGCAGGGATGTAGTTTCCTGTTCATTTAGCGTTGCCAGCATCCCCCTCCCCAAACTTGGGCTTCAGCCCCCAATTTTGAGGACGAGTGTGCTAAATTTGGGGAGAAATCCGTCTGACATTTTTGGGACTAGCTCGAGTCTCCCGGCGCTTGCGCTGGCCCTTAGCTATCCCGAGCTCGAACTCCGCACATTGTGGGAAATTTTTCACCAGCCCAAAAGCGACAGAGTCCTAATCAGCGACCCTGCGGCCGCCAAGCGAAGATGCACGACACAATAACGATATCTCACCGCCCGACCCCCGCCTGCAGAAACTGAAGGACATCGCTAAGCTGAAGGCTGACAAGGCTGCGGGCAAGGAGATGAACCAGGAGCAGCTGGAGAAGATCTCGCGAGAGGCAGAGCTCACCAAGGAGCTGCAGACACTGGCCTTGTAGCCCCGGCCTGCACTAGGCCAGTTGTTTGGGACGGGGTGGGGGCGGGCCGCTGCTGGCTGTCAGCGGACGGCTGCTGGCTGTCAGCGGGCCGCTGCCGGCTGTCAGCGCGCCGCGCGTTTGATACTATTTTATGGCGGGCCGGCGCTGACGCGGCTCGTTCGTGCAATGTGATGATCGCTTGTTGTGGTTTGCCGGTTCAGTGGCATCACTGGTGACGAGAACGGTCAGGCCCGTGGCGCCTTATCTTGTAAAATACCACCGCAACGAACTCCTGACGGCGTTTATTAGAGCATGGCAAACAGGTACAAACGCAGGTACAAAACGGCGCTGGGCCTGGCCACGCCGGGCGGACAAGGGCACGGCAGAGTACACAAATCGACCGCCAACCGGCCTGTGTTGAGCGGCTTCAAACCTGCCGCTGGCCGCATCAAACGAAAGCGCAACACATTGAGCAATTTGGGAGATCCTTGGTTCACGCGCAGACGCGAACATCACAGCTTCCACACGCTCCAGTGAGCTTTAGACGCGCTTGCCCGCGCTCCAGCGAGCTTAAGCACGCTTGGCCGCGCTCCGAAAAAGCCGGTTCACCAGTTACCGGCTTCACAGGCATCTCGACAACTCGGGTCCGCAGCTGCCGGTGCGGCCCTTGAGCACGAACGAAGGCATTCGCAGAAACGGCCGAAGTCCTGTGTCGGAGCAATAAGAAGCTAGGCTCACAAGCCTCTGGACGGGACTGAGCCGTAACATAACGCAGCCGGCACGCGGCTGCCGGCACATCACGCGCCGGTAGCCGCGTGACGTGGCCGCCTTGACTCGGCCAGCCCAGCAGACCGAGCACGAGGCGGCACCGGCGTCAGCCGTCGGCGGGCCGCGGCCGGCCCGGCGGCGGCGACACCATCTGATACTGCGGGAACCCGCCGACGGAGCGCGGCACCTGCAGGGGAATCGGCACAGGTCGCTGGCGGGCTCGGCCAAGCGGCACACACCGACTTTCGGCACAGGTCACGGCTGACGAGCGCACCCTGACCCTGCGCACAGCACCGGCAACGGCACTGGCTCGGCTGCAGCTGTGGAACTATCTAGGTCTCCGTATGCGCTCTGGCCGCACCATTTCTGAACGGTACCACCGCAACCGACGTCGCTGCGTTAACGGACATTGAGTGCGAGATAGTAATGCCCACACTTTGATACAGGGTCAGAGAAACGGCACGCGTGAGGTTTCACCCCTGAGGGCGCCGTACTATCGCGGTGATGGAAGGCACTACTCAATGTCAGGGCCTCCCTCGTCGCGCGGTGCCTGGCATCCCACCTACGGGTGCTGCCTGAGATGGCGGGCCACCACCGCTGCACGCCAAAGTTCCGGCTCCGTGCGTGTCGTCCGACTGACCTCGAGACTGCGCCGCTCCCGCTCCCGCTGGCTCCGCTCCCCCGGCGTCAGCAGAGGCCCGCCACCGCCCAGGCTGACGCCGACGCTGACCGCCGGCGGCGCCTGCGCCACTCTGCTAACGGAAAGGCGGCGTCACCGCATGCATGCGCGCAGGCGAAGGCTCCAGCACACGCGGATGGCACCAGAGCTGCCCGGCGAGCGACCGCCTCCGTCGCGCGGCGCTCCATCTCTCCCTCCCCCGCTCCGCTGGCTCTCAGCGACCGCGGGGCCGGATGGCCACGCGTTGCAGTTCCTCAGACGGGCAGCGGACGGGTCCCTGCCCCGCCCATAGAGTGCCCCTGGTCCAGCCTGTCCGAGCCGAGCCTCTGGCCTCTGACCATCTGACTCCACCCTCAGACTTCTGTCCAATCGGTGGCCCGAGCTCGTGCGGCCGTACTGACCCTGCGCGGCCGGCGGTGAAGGGAGGTCGGCCGGTGGCGGAGGGGTTGCTCGGCAGGCGGGCCGCCAGGGGGCCGGCCTCCGACACGCCGTTCTCCAGCGCCGGCCGCGGCGAGGTGACGCGCTGGCCGCCGCCCGCCGCGCTGTACGCTGCAGGCACCCACGGCCGTCACCGGTCACACCACGAGCATCGCGCGATGCCGCCACACGGCCACGCACGGGAGCTACGGCGGCAAAACAATACGGCGTCGACTACGCAGCGATGCGACTCTGGGCTTCAGCGAGCCCCTCAACGACCTACTCCGCCAAAGGCGTCCGCAACGACTCATGAGGCCAGCCAAAGCGGCTGATACAGGGGCTACTTCCAGCTGCGGCCTGCGGCTTACCACTGCTGGAGATGGGACCGGCCATTGCCGCCTCCAGCGTCCAGCCATACCAGGCCGGCTCCACTGTCCGCTTACGGACGGGTCGCTGGTCACATGCGACGACTGGTACACCCACAGAACGTCAGCGGCACAGCCTGTCACGCACGGGGGCCACACTTGCCGCCGACCCTTGGTGTTTTATAACTCACGTGGTCAGAGGTCAAGTGTCGTCAGCTACCTGCACTGACCGCTGGTGGTTTGGTATTGCGCGGCTACTGACGTGGCCAGGGGTTAGGTGACGGCCTACTGGCCCCATTTGACGCACGCCACCGTTGCCACCATCGGCCCACCACTGCCACATGACTGTTGCAGTCGTGGTGAGGTGAGGTGGGCGGAGCTTACCGCCGCTCTGTTGGTGGCGGACGGCGGCGGCGGCGCGGGCCGACACGGCGGCCGGCGCCGCCCTGTCCAGCGGCACCGAGAGGCGCGCGTGCACCGCCAGCAGGTGGTCCCGCCGCTGCGCCACAACGCCCATGTGCTCCTCCATCTGCCGCCAGCGCAGCGGCCCACGTCAGAGGGGAGGGGTGCTTCGGATAACAGGACGTCAGATGGGGGGAAGTCAGAAGGGAGGACGTCAGAGGGAATGACGTCAGATGGGAGGACGTCAGAGGAGAGGACGTCTGTGGAGGACATCGGACGGGATGACATCAGAGGGGAGGATGTCGGAGGGAAGGGCATCGGAGAGGACATCAGAGGGGAGGGCGTCGGAGGGAAAGGCGCAGAGGGAGAGGGCGTCGGAGGGAAAGGCGCAGAGGGGGAGGGCGCCGGAGGAGAGGGCGTCGAGGGGGAGGGCATCAGGGATGGACGTCACATTACCGCCACACGCGGCCACTGGCGTCCAAGCGCGTGGCAGCACGAGCGTTATCCGACAAGCACACCAAACATTTCTAAGACTAGCCCACATGAGCATCAAGACCACGTGCACAAAGACGGTGCGCTGCAGTACAGCGTGAGGCGCAGACGGCGCGTGTGGCGCACCTGTTCGTTCTCCTGGCGTAGCTGGTACAGGCAGCTGAGCAGCCCCGCCACATCAAAATGCTGCGACTGCTCCATCAGGAAGTGACTGCCCTGCTGCCACTGATGCTCCAGCAGCGCCGTCAGCGAGAGCGGGGCGGCGGCGGCAGCGGGGGTGGGGGTGGTGGCGGTGGGCCACGTCTGCCAAACAGGCACGCCGTTAGCGACAGATGGCGACCGGCACAGCACCGCTGCATCCCGGTCAGTACAGATATACACCACCGGCCACGCTCACAGCGGCCGGTCGCGGAGGACGGAAGCACCGGACATATGGAACGCCAGGCACGCCACCTTCTCGAACCGAGACCAACAGAGTACACGCAGCCCATGTGCGTCCCGCAGTGAGCCCACAACAGACGCTAGGCACGGCTCTGACCCCGGCTGCTGGGGTCCGACGGCAGCACCAGTCCGGACAGCCCGCGCAGACCGCCAGGCCCGGTCGGCGCCAGCGCGCTCACCTGCGTCCTGGCGGCGACGGCGCGGCCCGGTGGCGGCGGTCCCGGCGGCGGCGGACACGGCCGCTCGCAGTCCACCTGCTCGGCCACCTCCGCCGCCAGAGAGTCGGCCAGCAGCGCGCCCGGCCGCAGCTGGTTGCCGATCATGTGCGGCGCCGGTTGGCCGTTGAGCCGCGCCGCCGCCTCCGCCTCCGCGCTGCCGGCCGGCGGGTGCCGTCACGTCTCACGTCACGTCACGTATCACGGTGTGACGTCACGTCAGACGTGCACAGAGCGGCTCAGACGCCGCCGGTGGCCGGTTCACGCCTCTGGCGACCAGCACGACTGCACGTGCCGCTGGAAAACAGACTCCGAGAGCGCAACACGCGGCTGATTCTTCCCGATCGCAGCTCATTCTGGACTAATACGCCTGCACCGCTCCCTTCCTCCTTCCCACTCTCGCCCGCCCCCAGTCCGCACACTACCCATCATGGCGACCACTCCGGCCCGCTCGGACGCACCTGGCGCCGGCCGCCGCGTCGGCTGGCGCCACCACCTTGCGCGGCCGGCCCGGGTTCTTGCGCTTGCGCGCCGGCTTGTCGACGTCGGGGGGCGGCGGCCGTTTGGCCGGCAGGCCGACCGTGCCGGCCGGGCTGGCGTCCGGCCGCGAAGAGTCGGCGGGCTGGAGCCAGGGGCACACCAGGCGGCTCACGTAACCAGGCAGCAAACTCCGTCGCTGGTCATCCGCCATTCTGTTACGCTTGGCGCCTAAGTCACCCGCCGTACCTCACAAGTCACTGACGTCATCGGCGTACATGGACACAGTTTGAGTTGAGCCGCGGTGACTGACACGGAGACGGCCATTGGCGGCACACACCGCTGAGAGCGCTCGACTGTGGGAGAGCTCCGGCGCCGGACCCCGAGCGGCAGTCCGACGGACACTCCGTGGGAGCGAGGACCGCTCAGCGGGAGTAGATGCCGCTCGGTGGAATTCGGGCCCCAGTATGAGCACAAGCCCCTTAGTGTAAGGTGTCAGTGAGCGTTACACTACTGGTGTGGCTCCGGCTGGGCGCCTCCACACCGGGTCCGGCCGCTCACCTGAGCAGAGAGGGTGGCGCTGGCGGCGGCGGGCAGGGCCGGCACCGCACCGGCAGCCGTCTCAGTGGTGCCGCCAGGCGGCGGCGGCGCAGGCTCGGGCTCACGTGGCTCGTGCTTGAGGCCCGCTCCGTCCTGCGGCGAGCACCGTCACAGCACGTGCCCATGCCCACTGCCCAGGCAGTCTCGCAGGCCAGCCAGTTTTTACTCGCTTTCCATGTCACTCGCGCCCGCCATTTTGCTCGCTTTTAATGTCCTTCGCCCCTGCCATACACTGCATGACATTTTCTCTTCGCGTTATGAGGATATCGGTAAAACATTTGAGTCACATTAGAACTGTCACCGATGGCAAACACGAGAAAAGTGTGACCGCAATACCAAAATCGGAGGTACCACCAACCACCATACAACAGGGGTGGAGAATATACGAAGAAATCGTACAACACGCACGCACGCACGCACGCACGCACGCACGCACGCACGCACGCACGCACGCACGCACGCACGCACGCACGCACGCACACACGCACACACACACACACACACACACACACACACACACACACACACACACACATATATATATATATATATATATATATATATATATATATATATATATATATGTATGTATATAAGCCTATTACTAATCCCACCTGTACGCAATGTTAAATTGCATCCCTCGTTACGTACGCAACATGAATGTCCAGACTAGCGTGTCTGCCTGCCTAAGCAGGCAGCGAATATCCTCGTAACTCGACTGAACAGGCGCTGATCGCCGGCCCACCTGGAGGTCGGGTTGGTGCGGCGCGCCGTCGGCGGCGGCGAGCGGCGGCGGGCCGGGCTGCGCGCCGGCCGCCGGCGCCGCCGCCGCCGAGAGAGGCAGCGCGTCGGCCGCGTCGCCGCCGGCCGGCTCGTCGCCCGGCCAGCTGCTGCTGGAGCTGTCTGTGTGCCCGACGGGCGGCCGTGGGCAGCGCGCCCACCGCGCGTTCCGCCGGCGCTCGGTGCGGGCGTCGTCGAGCACCGGCACCGGCGCCTTCTCCGGAGACGCGTCCGGCGTGACCGGCTCGTGCGTCGGCTTGAACGCCGGGATCGCCTTCACGTGGTGACCGCGCTTCTGAAAGGCAGCGCGTCCATGTGACGTCGGCATGCCCACCGGCGTGGCGACGGCGCGGCGCTGCGAGCAGCGCTCGGCGCGTTACTGCTATGGTATCTTATGCCAGTTGGCGCAGGGACTTGTGAGGGCACATCTTGGCGTGGCTACCAATCCAAGGAATATGTGTATGTGACACGGAATACCTGTCTCGCGCACCAAGGCGTTGTCGAGGAACTTCCCGTCCTACCGTGATGCAAAGACTGGTATTCCGTCTGAAGCCCTACGCGTCATGAACAAGAGCACTTTCGCACAGAACAGGGTGCGGTGGTGGATCCCACATCCTACATGCGAAGCTGCGCCCAGAGATTCCCAGTCCGTGGCATGGCTTCGTGAAGTAGGTTGGGAGTGGGGGACTGAGTAGCGAAAAATAGTTAAGCCGAACCTACTCCCCAAAACACGGAACAACGGGTTTCTCCAGAGATTTTTCCAGCATTTTCCTCACGGTTTGGGGCTAGATCTCCCTAACAGAATAGGACAACAAACCCATGTTCCCAGTCCCAGCCTCCCCACAAAATACGGAACTATACACGATGCTCAACAGCCGTCGATGCGTACTGCACACTCCTCAGGTTTAGCGGCGTGGCTCACCAGCTTGGCGTAGTGGTGCGGGCAGTAGCCGCAGTAGGTGACGTTGTCCATGCTCTGCACCTGCTCCTCGCAGAGCAGGCCGCTCAGCTGTGCGCACGTCACGTGGAAGCTCTGGCGGCAGCCGGCCTTGTTGCAGCTCATGCAGGCGCCAGTGGCCGCCTTGCTGGCCCGACCGTTCGTCTCGCAGAGGCAGCAGGTCTGCTGGCGGGGCGCACACTCCGCTCAGCGGGTCACACGAGCTCCGGATGGGCGCTCGCGGCTCGAGACAGCGGGTCTGCTGGCGGGGCGCACACTCCGCTCAGCGGGTCACACGAGCTCCGGGTGGGCGCTCGCGGCCCGAGACAGCGGGTCTGCTGGCGGGGCGCACACTCCGCTCAGCGGGTCACACGAGCTCCAGACGGGCACTCGCGGCTCCACACCCAGCCAAGGCACACAGGCCCAGCTTCGACCAACAAGAGCGCTCTCGGCCCTGCACTCGCTGCTTCTTCGGAAGCCATCCTAGCATGGCATTCCAATCGGCAGAGGCTTCTCTCAGACTACATATGCATGTGGTAAAGAGTTGCTCCTAGCAGGCTAACGAGTGCTGCAGCACACTTGACATCAATCGTCTCAGTCTTTACACGGTCTCTGGAAGCTGAAACCTTTGTTCAAGGGACGTTCCCTTCCACATACGTCATTGGCTGATCAATCCAAGATTGTGTCAGTTGACGGCAGCAGTGTCATCACCTCTCATATGACCAATCCAGCCAAGAACGAATCGAGCGCGACGCATCTTGTCTCCCCTAGAAACACAGCTAAACTGAGACAGCAGAGGAGGAGGAGAAGGGGACCAGCCGCAGCGGTGGCCGGGACCGCCGTTCTCACCTTGCTGAAGCGATCCGGCGGCACGATCGACACCAAGATCGGCTCCATGCTGGCCACGTCGCCGAACCTGACCTCCGGGATGTAGAGGGCGCATACCACGTGCGCCCAGCCGTCCGCGTCCGTCCGCTTGAGCGCGCCGCCCTTGCCGGGGCACAGCTGGCACCGCTGCAGCCACAGAATCCGGTCAGTGACAGAAACCACCAGAGCTGGCGGGCGCGCCGGCTACCAGTGTGGGCGGCAGCGCAGCTGACGACAGCTGGCCCCGACCCGCGCCAAACGGCTGGGCGAAGGAGACTATTGCAGCGCGCTCTCTGGGCTGCCCGTGTGTGTCTGGAAGCCGGACCCATCCCGGTGGGGTACGCGATGCGCGCTGGCGGGAGCAGCAGCAACGCACATGGCCTGCATTGTGGTCTGGAGATAGATTACAACCAGTACAGTAAAAATGACAAGTCGCATGGCTACACGGGTGCATTGCAAGGCAGGGGTACCCAAACCAGGCATGGGAAGAAACCAAACTTCTGGCCTCCAGGCTGCATATGAGGCCAAGACAATGACACGAAGCCGACGCATAACCAAACCCGGTTGTTTGGAAGTTTGGAACTGCAAAGTCGAAGCCTCAGTCAACAGCTTCCTATCTTTTGTCATGTGAATCAGGAACCGAGCCAAGTGGATTTGAAATTTTCACATGCGCGAGTCGAAGCAGAAGTCATTGGCTTTGGACTCCGCAAACGCTAAGTCAAGCCGAACACCTCAGTTTATAATCGCGCGGGCGAAGCTGAGGTCAACTCTAGGGTACGTTGTTTCGCGAGGCTGAAACCACTTTAGCGTCTGTTAAAATTGTATGTGATGACAAAATACTACCGAGATCGTGGAAGTGGTTAAGAGCTGGTGTTAAATTGACGGATGCAAAGAAAGGCCGGACTTATGTGCCCGTCTTGTGCGTTAGTATGCACACAGCGTTTGAACACACCTCTCCGCCCACGTGAAGTGTGATTTGGTCCTGAGACCGACCGGCCGACTGTTCGGTTTGCAGCCCTGTACGTATCGCAGCCTCCGAAGGTTGTGTGGTATACTGGAGTGACAGGTCCGACAAGACTGTTTTTGTGAAGTGACGTTGCAATTACTGTGCCACGATCACCGTCCTAAAAATCCCCGATTTACAAAAGTAAAGCCAGTAGCGCAGGAACGATGGAGACGGGGTCAAAGGCTTAACGGAAAAATTGCGGATTCGCGGAGCCGAAGTAGAAGCCCGCTTTGTCGCCATGCCTGGCCCACACAGAGATCAATGTTCTTGCAACTGGCGCATGGTGGATATGTGATATGACTCGAAGCCCACAATACTCATGCCAGGTCTCATCACGTATGAACATATTTGCGGGCGATTAGTAAGCCCCTCTCTAATTGTTCTAATTGTGTGTGGTATACAAGTCACATCAGAAGCTGTTTACTTACCGCAACGCCAGTACGCTCTTGTGATTCACATTTGCGGCAGAACCAGGGACCCAATGGCACATTTATAATACCATAGCAGGCTGAAACAGAGCCAAAAGTCTGTCAAAAAACTTGCTTTTACACGTTTGATGCCCTAGATAAATAAGTTGTGTCGGCATCTTAGAGATGGACAACACGGCGTCAGCTGATTATGCAGAGAGTACGCGGTAGCACCATCGCGCATTTGGGAGCGTTACTTCGTACGGATGAGCTCATTTCGAAATAAAACGTCTGGATTAGATGTGTACCACCCTGATCCACCTGTTCTTAATCTAACTTAGTTTTACATAAAACACGTACCACCCATTTAAGTCCGATCTTTAACGCGCCTGTCTGATCTCCACCATCTCTGTGCATGCTCAAACAAGATGTCTCGCTCATAAATGTCAGCAACTGCAACTAAATGGAACGGGAACCAAGGTGGTAGACCCCAATCGATTTAAGAAAGTGATAAGCCTGCGTCCATCCTTGTTCCGGAACAGCTAATATGTGAAAAAATTACATTTGTAAAAATTGAGCCCGCGTGCCCGCAATCTTAGAAGCAGACAAACGAAAACAGCCGTCGTGAAATGTCTCCAGAAGTCTTTCGAAATGAGTTCGCACCGCTTAAAAGGCATACTGAGGTGTACGTATTAGATGTCAACTTTCGACGATGTCCTCTGAATATATCGAAAGCAGCAACAACATGACAAAATTTATCTCTACTTGTCTAGTTCCACCACCAAATTCCGGCACTGGTTCGCAGTGCTGCGAACGCCAATCTGTTCCCATTATAAATGTACCTAGGTGAAACACGCTCCGGGACTGTCCCCTCAACGCGCGCATTGACATCATAAGGCGTTCAAGATGCCTCTTTCACAAACGCTACCGTTTTCGTCCGCTCACCGGCCACCCCCTAACACTAGCAACGCGGCCGACGGCGTGCGGGAAAGACTGCACGGGAGAGCTTACGGAGACTGCAACACTGGACATTGGGGGGTTTGTTCTATGGCTTGAGAGCTCACGTGATCAAACACTGGACATCGCGGGTTTTGTTCTGCGGCTTGGGAGCTCACGTGGTCAAGCACTGGACATCGGGGGCTTTGTTCTACAGCTTGAGAGCTCACGTGGCCAAACAATGGACATCGGGGGTTTTGTTCTACCACTTCGGAGCTCACGTGGTCAAAGCTATGTTATGTCATTCTTCCACCACTCGGTTCTGAACAAAACTTGAACCTTCCCAGATGAACATGGTCCTTGAGGAGCCAACTTAACAAGTAATGTTTTTACAATCAACCTGTGTGGTGCATGACATTGACATTATGGTTGTTTCATTTGCCACACATTCAAAGTGCTTCTTCATGGTTGCTTTCCCTTCAGTGGGACAACAGCTTGGAGCAGTGTTCCCAAGAAGTGCAGCTGGCTTGTAATGTATGTTCAATTAAGTAAGCCATGAAAGGTATTCTCAAGAGGAGGGCATGTGTCAGAGCATTTTGAGGAAAGGTTGAGAACCATTTTCTGAAATCAAGTATGGAGAAGAGCAAATATTTCATTTTACATGAACTGAAATGAATATGTCTCATATGCGAAATATTTGCATGTCAAGAAGCAAGTGTAAATGGGATGTTATGCCAGATAAATTGTGGACACTTTTCTTGTCAATCAGATATAAATGCACTACAAAATTATCAAAGCACAAAATGGCAAATTGTGTGCAGCTTCCACTTTTCTGTACACATGAGTGATATGCAATGACACATCTTCAGCTTCATAAAAGAAGTGTATTTAGAAGAAGCTGACAGCCAGGCTTCCATATGTGACTGCTGCAGCGAGCTTAAAAAATTTGTAGTTTGTACAGTTTTAACATCTACTTGTTTATATATATATATATATACATACATATATATATTGAAAAGCTAAAAAACAGAACATAAAAGGACTACCCTCAAAAAGGTTTTATTCCTATCCCCTGATGAAAAGTTCCAATAGTCTGGCTCCCAATTCATTTTGAGAAATTGACGCACATCACAGGTTCTCTAACTGAGCTATCTTGACCATCAAGCCACCTATAAACCTATGCCAATCAAACTCCAAAATAGTCATGATGGAACTGCCCTTTTACTCAACCTTTTTGAAGAATGTTGGCAGGTAAGCAGCATGCTGTAATCACACTGGTTGTTTACATGAGACAGAATATGCTGAGGGTTTCCTTCTGTGCAATGTTAACACAATCATGTCAAACAGACCAAACTGTACTTTATCTCCTGCACATCCTCTTATCTGCTACTCATGCTGTCCCTGAGTGTTATAATTAGGTATATATATTTGGTCAAGTAGAAAATGTTGAGTACTTCAGACTTTCAGGACTTTTGCCTTTCCACACCATAAGCCATGTGGAAAGGCTGGTGATGTTGAAAGACTGGTTCCCACTTGATTTGGGCACTGATATCTGTAAATAAAAAGCATCAAGAACTGAATGCAAAATGTATTTTTGCCATTTTTTCCTTCACCTGTTAAATTGCCAGAATTTTTCCATAGCTGAGTTTTGAATGATGCTGCTATGCATAGGTGGTTTAGTATTGTGGGTAGTCTCCTTAAACACAGATTTCACCCATCAGGAGTTTAGGAAATAGGTACCTACTTACCTTGATGGACAGCAACATCACAATCTTCTCCATCACAGTAGACCAGCGGGTTTTCATCCCAGCCACTCTCATCAGAGCAGACACAGCAGCCCCCAACCATCTCTTTCATTTCAATCTCACGCGCTTGTGTGCCTGTGAGCATCAGTAGGATATCATACAATGCCTATAGCACCAGATTTTCCTTTATTAGTAATGGGGCATCATCACTAGCGCGATGAACAGAGGTCATCAGCCTAAGCGTCCCGCTTCCTTATTACGTAGAATTCCGTCCGCGAATAAGATGTGACCGTCCAAACATTTCCAACAACAAGAGGGGATTACGCAGTCGCATACCCATGTGTATGACACTTATGAATCGACGGAAGCAACTAAACAAGTAAATAGTCTCCACCCGCACACCATGCGCCTCCTATCTCTCGAGACGTGCGCGGCGGTGGGGACTAATCGACGGCCAACTTTTCTTAGTTGTCCCCTGCTCTAAGCCTGTGAGACAAATCACCAATAAATTTCACAGATCGGTATACCTTGGTCAATAATGCATTTCCCAGACAACATGAACTATGGTTCAGGCCCAAAGTTGCAAAAAAATCCAAAAATTATTAACAATAGCTGCTGATGTCATCCCAGAAGCAATTTGGACCAATCACCACCAAACCGTGCTCATCATTCGCCATATTCTACGCTGACAAACAACGGTTTTCGGAATGCAGTGGCCTTGAGACGATGTGTGATGTACCTCTCTATGGGCCTCTGGTTCGAACAGGTGCCCTGACCCCATGTCGCCAGAATGGTAGGCGGTGGGTACCCTGACTGGGACGGAAGCGCCTTTCAACCCCCACCGAAGGAGATAATATGCTCCAAGAATTTTACCCACGGGGCCCCTCACCCGGTGAAGGTAAGGTATCTCCTTCGCGTTCAGTGGAGTAAATCGAAACTAGGTAAAAAGGGCATTAACAAAACCAGTCCATGTCCATCCTTTTTCAGGATCCACGAGAAAAAAAATCGAATAACTTTGAGAAAGCGTGATCGCAACCTTAAGGAGAAAAAACGCCGATATCCCAGCGCTGCGGTTTACCCCAGTCCCGATACTCCGGCGGTACAGTTTACCCCAGTTCCGACACTCCGGTGGTACAGTTTACCCTGGCCCCAATGCCACGCCCGCACAGGCTACCCCGGTCCCGATACATCAGTGCTGCAGTTTACTCTAGTCCCGATACTCCGGCGGTACAGTTTACCCTGGCCCCAATGCCACGCCGGCACAGGGTACCCCGGCCCCGATACACCAGTGCTGCAGTTTACTCTAGTTCCGATACTCCGGAGGTACAGTTCACCTCGGTACCGATACACGGGCAATACGGGTTCCGTTAAATGGAGGGACGGTGTCCGCCGCAGTGAACATCAAGTGGGTATCGGGCGCATGAAGACGACGGAATGTCAGGAAATCATGTTTCCAAAGGTCTTAAGACAATTTTCATCGTTCGAAGGTTATGGTGCAATTGTCACCAATGCATTTTTCAAGTTGTGCTATGGATAGAGTGTAACACCATAGAGGTTCCACTATTGCTTCGAGAATTCGCGATGCTATAAGTGCTAATCCGTTCCCGTTGGCAATATGATAGTCGCACAGATAACATACATAGCCCGAATTGCTCCCTAATTGCACGAATGAATTTCACAACGTGTTGGAAGGTGCCTCTTTCCTATGCAAGGTTTCCGTGCACCCATTGATCACCCGCTGGTGTTAACTGCGGAGACGAAGCTGCATGACTCATGCGCTGAAAGCAATGTTCACCAAAGTTGATCCTGCTTTGGCTTCGTTACTATTAAAACAAACGCAACTCTACGCCAGTACTACACTGTCATTAACTCGGTGAAGATCATTTTAGCTCACAGAAAGGGGGCCCTACCTTCCCACCAGTACCGAGTTTGTGCATATCGCCAGGTCTTGCGATAAGGCTTAACTATGTGCCGAATGTTAATACACAATGGCTCAGCCAAGGATACATAAACAACAAGTTATAAACAACAAGCCAAGCAGTAGGCAGCAATTATAAAAAGAATGAAAGTTGAGTGTATTTGGCAAGGAAGTCATATCAGTGTTTTTATTGAGATGTTTCCGCAGCAGAAATGCAGGGGCTTCATCGTACGAAGAATCATGGTGTGGAAACCACGCCCGCGAAGGACAAAATAATACGAACGATGGGTTCCAGAGGAGGAAAGAGCTCTTGGGCGACGTTCCGACGCCCTTGGGGGTCCGAAAACCGCCAGTCTCGTATCCATGGCTTGACACGCAGGGATGTTTGCATCATATGCCATCACACTTCATTATCGGAAAGTCTGTTTGTCTGTTTGTCTGTTTGTTTGTCTGCAGTCGGCTGCTGACAAATTGGAAGTGTACGTTACATGTACACATTAAGTGTACAAATGTACATGTATGTAAGCGTCAAGTGTACATACTCCGTACGTTGTAGCCAATATGACTATGCAACTGTAGAAGAAGACAACTGCATCGTTTTTGGGGGCTTCAATGTTTGTTTGTGCCTGTGCGTTCCGACACATCTGAGAGCGTTGGTATGAGCGCAAATCGCTTCCAGCAGCCTTCTCCCGTTTGGTCCACACTTTCACTAACAATAAGTTAGCTGACAGCACAGAACTCGAGCTGGATGGCATCGCTGGGTAAGCCGTCTTTTTAAAACACAAAAGGATGGCTAGACGCGTCATATAGCTAAGATGGATGCTACATGCGTCGCAATGAGTTAGTTCCAGCATGCGCAGCAGTTTGACGTGTCCTCGTTGGTTCTACGGACAGCTTGCAGCATCTGAATACTGGCTAGTTTTGACCTTCGTCGAATTTGACATTGTGGTATAGGTTGTTGCGCATTAGTGTACCAAGGATCTCCTGATTTTCCCCCAATAAAGCGGTAAGGTTTTAGAGCGCAATATTTGCGTTTGTCAAAACTTCATCTCATCAATCAGGTTGCAGTAGGTTACTATTTGTCTTCATTGTATGGAGAAGGCAACGCTAGGCTTCGGGGGATATTTGCTTCTGAAAGCACGGGTGTATGAACAGGGGGAGGGCAGGAGGGCGCCAATGTTGGGGGCGCGGCCCCCCAACTTTTCAATGTAGGGACGGGCAATGGTAACTGCCCCCCCCCCCCCCCAACCACACAGACTTTTTCAGATTCAAGTTGCATTCAGCTTGCTTCTGTAATACTTTAAACATGCATGCCGATTTGCTTAGTTCATCAACCGTCTTACTCAAGATGGGTCATCTTTTTTTCGTTTGCCCATTGGCCATCACTTAGCATCAACCCGCAAGACCAACGCCGCACGCACTATGGAGACTGCAACGCCGGGCGTCGAGGCTGTCGTTACAAAGACTTTCGAGCGCATATGTTCAAGTCCATGATGCATCATTTTTCTCAGCATCCAATTCTGACTGTGTCGAACATTTTGAGGTAAACATGAGTTAGCCATGTCAATGTCAAATTTGGAGCCCTATTTTGATCTACAATCTACGTTCAGGGGGTCCTCAACTTTTTTTAAAGAACACATACAAACCTGGAACTTGAGTCTATGTGGATGTTATTGGATCAACTGCGGTGATTAAGGGTCTTGTTGCTTCAATGAGGGTTCCTGTGTTGATCCGGGGCCAGCTGCGCGGATCAGAAGGCCTCCCGCGTCAGGAAGGCCCAATGTGATATGATGTATCGCTCTAAGGGCCTCCGGATCGACCAGGGGATCCCGCCCCATGTCGCCAGAATGAGAGCCGGAAGACAACACGCGGTGGGACGGAATGGCCGTTCAGCCCTTGACCGGGAACAGTAATGTGCCCCTAGTGTTCTGCTCGAGGGGCCGCTTGCCCGGAAGGAAATAAGGGGTCTCACTGTTGTTAAATTGGTCGGATCGATATGAGTAAAAAAACGAACAAAGTCATCCGATGTTTGTCTGAAAACGTTCATTCTTTGCAGAATCGACTAGTGAAACAAATCACATCAAAAAAATTTAGCATGCGCGCCCGCAATCTCGAGAGCAAGGACAGCGATGGTCTCGGTTGCAGCTTTCGTAAAACCGAACGGCATCGGCCACTGCAAGAAACACCAGGTGGTGGGCACCGTGTTAATCTACCCTCTGGTCAGATAAACAGTTACAGCAACACGAAAATAGAGGTTCTACCTTTACTCCTCCAATTCCACCACCAGATTCCAGTACCACCTCGCGGTGGTGCAAAGGCCGATCCATTCTTATTATGAATCTACAAACCGCACAGGTGAAATATCGTCCGAACTGCCTTCTAAATGCTAGATTTGATGTGTTGAAGTATTCAAAGGCACTTCTCTCAGAAGCGTCATCATTTTCGTCCACTCATAGGCCACGACTCAATGTTAGCTGCTCACCGACGCGTATGGAGACTGCAACGCCTGGCGCGGAGTTTTTTTTTGTCGCGAAGATTTGCGGGCGCGCATGTTCAAAACTATGTTACTTGATTTGTATCGCTAATCGATGTTTACTGAATGTTGAACGCTTCCAGAAAAATATGGCTTGGCCATGTTAACACAAATTGTTGATTCATTTTGATCTACGATCCACCCCCGCGGGGCCCAGAATATACTTGTACAACCCAGATAAAACTTTGACAATGCTTCTGAGCTTTATCGGTTAAGGAAGAGGTCACTAAACAATTGTACAACGAAAACGCTGGTGATTTATTTCATGCAGTCCTTCAATGCCTGATTGTTTGCAGTTTATCAAATTCAACATATGAACAGATTGCTCTCGCGTTAGCTGCTGGTTTTATGTATGTTCTGGTAGCAAGGCAAAAACAACAATAAAACGAAGGAAACCGTACCCCTTGTTAACAAGCAAGCTATTTCCGGCGATTTGGGGGGGGGAGAGGGGGTCACCATCGGGGGGCTTTTGTCAACCCTGTGCCCGCCTCCCCTTGCCAAGGCTTTAGCTACGCCCCTGCCTACATACAAAAGCAAATCAAGTCGGCTACGTTTAATGAGGGGCAATTGAATATCCTTTGGACCAATTCATGCCTAGGGCAAACAGACCACCGAAAACTTTTTTCCGCGGTGGTGTGCTGTAAGGGACGATAATTTGGAAAGATATACTGCTGCATGTGTCTAATATATGTCTCACACACCAATAAGCAGCAACGCTGATCCATCGTAGTCATACGATCAGTTCACAGTCAGTCACGCGGAGGATAGCCTGGCCAGGGCGGTGGCCGCCGACGGCGGACGGGAGCAGGCCTCAGATAAAGAATATATGACGGAACAAACTTTAGTCTGTGACTTGTTTTTTGCAGGAGAAATTCTAGATTTATTGTTTTTTGGCACATTGGTTGTTGCTGTTAATATTTGAACCTTCCGACTTTGCTTCCGCTTAATGTGCTGTGATAAA